TAGATTTGTGTTTTGTGCTTAATTACTGTCGCGGAGCGATAGCAAGCTCAAACAAGAAAGCTGCGGAGAAAAGATTATTGGTGGAACGGCGCGAATTACGGTCCGTAATTTACGTGTTTCTTGCAGAATGTGACGAAACAAAGGCCCGTAAGAGAATGCTGCAAAGGCTACACGGAGACCACGAAAGGCGATCGCTGCATTCCAGTGTGCTCCGAGGGTTGTCTCTACGGTACCTGTATTGCGCCTGACGTCTGCGAATGCGAGTCGGGATACCGCGGCTCGTTATGTGATACCAGTGAGAGCAGCTTCATTTTTATAATAATAATAACGGCGGGACATGCATTCCGGTATAGCTGGCGAAACGAATACTCTTTTATTATAGTGCACATATTTTTCATTTGCGATGCAACAGTCCGACATTCGACATGAATAACAACGTGTTAGAGTAACACGTAGAGAGATAGCGAACGTGAAATAACGAGAATATTACTATATATATGTTTATTAATTTTAGCAATACAGCCAGAAAGTGGACTTGGTTTACAATCAATCCTTAATCATTCATACCTGCATTCCATCCACGCACAATACAACTATTCAAATGACCTGTCATTACTTATACGATTATAATAATCATTGCTTCTTATGGCACTATCTCCTAACCACACAGTCTATCTCACAGCCTAATGACATTGTGTATCTATCTTCTTTTTCTTTCGCATTCCTTTCCCTGACTACTTTCAACAATACCTCCGCTTTGGTGGTGTCCAATTTATCGTTCCAAAGTTTTTCCAACCTTTCCTTACTATCTTTTTTTTAATACAGTAAATCATTCATGCTATCCTTACCTTTATTGCAAAAAATACACATCCGCTTCTCCTTTTCTAACCAATACCTATTACCTGATTCTAAGTTACCGCATCTTAAATTTAACAGAGCTCTAATACTATCCCCAAGGTTTTGCCTGTCTAAATTATCCATCCTTAAATACCTGGGACCTTCCAAATCCTTGCTTAACTTCTTGTATTTCTTATTATACCTTGATTCTAAAATTCTATTTTCCTCTAACTGTCTCTGAACATCCTCATCCTTATTCCTCATTTCTTTACCTAGATTCCTCCCCTCCCTTCTCAAGGCTTTCACAGCCACAACACTCCACCCATTTCTATTAAAATATTTTTCCCTTTCCTTTCCATATCTATCATTCCATTCATTACTTTCTTTATCTAACCAACACTTTTTAATTCACCTCTCTTCACTTACTTCCCTGACCTTATCCTCAAACTTCATAGCCCTAATTCCCCAACCTATCCTTAGTTTGCTCATTCCTAGTTCTCTAGACATCATATATCTTGGAGTGCAAAACTTTAATTTAAAAACCCATCTAGCGTAATCCAGCATTATCTTTTCTAAATTCTTTCTTTCTTTCCACCCCCATAATTCCACACCGTATGACATCACGCTCCTAACTAAATATCTAAATAGCATCCCTCTTCTAATAAAATTATTCTTACAAATCTTTTCTCCTAGACCCTAGGTCCTAGATTACATCTTACACCTAATTTTTCTCTTAAAAATTTCTGCGCCCATTTCTTCCAGTCTCTTTCTTGTTCTAAATTTAGGTATCCCTTTAATTACCACATTATTCCTTCTATATTCTTTTTCTTTATCTTTCATCCATCTCTTAAGCTTACCTACCTCTCTGACAACGAGAATATTACTAAAGATGTTGTATGTTATAATTTAGTAATAATGACACTTTGCATTCACGAAAAGAATTTAAAAATACGTAATGGCAAATCACGAATACTTAGCGTAAATACATTTTTATTGTGTTTAAAAAGTTACGTTGGCGGGTTTATTTTTAAAAACTAATGAAAGAAATACACGATGACTTTCTGCGCTATCGAAGATATCAGTTTATTTAAACGGCGTGTACAGAAGGTTAATTTTAACTTTCATATGAACAGAGTGCCCTTCGGGTAAATGGGGCAGAGATTGCAAGATGGATTGTAAATGCCAGAACGGTGCCACGTGCGACCCATTCGACGGCAAGTGTAAGTGTACCAGAGGCTGGATCGGCCTGTACTGCGATCGAAAGTGTTCTTCCAACCGATACGGGCAAGATTGCGCCGAGGAGTGCCGTTGTCAGAACGGCGGATCCTGTAAC